TTTTTCTACCTTGCACGTTTTTGAGCAGCTGATGTGCGCTCGGTAGAAGAAATAGAGTTTGCCACGTAAACACCATTGCTCCGTGGCTGCCTTACGCCCCTCAGTCCCTGTTTCACAGATCCCTCGGGCTGCAAAACAGCCCTGGAGGTGATGGCACTTATCTGACGAAAACTACTTTTTTTATCATAGACAGTTAAATACTACCGAATTCAATAACATACTCTTTAATGTCTCACATCTGTCAGGGGTCCCGACAACCACACCTTGTTTTTTGTTTTGTTTGCGTTGTTGATGTACTGATAAATTGTGTATTGCTGTAGGGTACAACTCCTAAGGAAGAAATGTATGTAAATTTTGATGGGAGATGCTAGCATGAGTGTTGAGGTATAATATTTGTTCAGTTTATTCAGCTTCTAAATCTACTCGCATAGCACCAGAAAATGTTTTTGGTACGTTTGACATTTTGTTGGCCAAAAATTTATCGGGTAGGCCTTTCATAAGTGCTTCAAGGCTAACTTTTCCTAGACATAATTTTTCATGAAGCTGTTTGTGTTCAGAAATTTTGTTTGAAGTGGCTTCTACCTTTGTTGCCCTAACACCTCGATTAATATGTTGGGAATTTCCTCGAAAAAATTGCAAACGCTTTTTCCACGCTTTTTCCCTGTTTAATCTGAGAATTATTCATGTTGGTGACGTATTTAGCGCAAGCTATAGATAAAGCTAAGTATTTTTTTAAATGGCTCATGAGATCGTCTTATATATTAACAGTTAGTTGGTGCAGACAACTTCTTGCTCTAACCTTCAGCCTACCAACCGTTTACCCTTGTAGCTATATGTGCGTATGTAAGTAGGTAAACTGTGGCGGTTCTGGAACCCCCTCTAGCTTCCCCCTGAGGTAGTGGTGGGGGAGAGACTATCTATACTTAGGCTGTCGGTGAAGGAAAGGTGGTGGTGGGGGGAGAGGCTATAGGGGCGGTGGGGGGAGAGGCTCGAGCACGATCGGATGGTATAGAAGAGTTAATGGAGGAGCTTAGGCAGTGGGTGGTGAGGACTACGCGGGCGGTAACGTCAGGGGAAGGGGGGCTTCCGTGTGCTGGTAGCTATGACGTTGGATGATACTGACAGCTTCCTTCCTTTCCAACCACGAATCGAGCTCTGACGTCATCAGAATAGGTCCAAAATGTTTAGGTGACAAGCCCAACGTACAGCGCGAGAGGAAGATGATCAAGGATAAACGTGTATTTCTTATCAGCGGATGTTTTTTTTTTCTTCTTCCACTCATTGATTAAGGAGTTTCAGCATAATCGTTGTTTTTTTGTTCTTCTCAAGAGCGGGCGTATTGAGTTGTTGGAGAGAAAATTTTATTGGGAAAAGCGGATCGTGTATCCCGTTGAACTGCGACCATCGTTGGCTTACTCCACGCAGTAACTTAAGGCTGAAAACAAAAGATAATAAACACGAAAACGATTAGAAAATAAAAAAGGAAAGCGAGAAAAAAAAACAATAAACAACTCACCCAGACATTGTATGCAACCAGATTTATAGCGATATAATATATTACCGATAACGAATACTGTTCCAACTACTGACTTAATCAACATATTTTCATTATAAATAAATGTTAGCCTTGATGAGTTGAACGAAATTTGAATAAATATTTATTTAACTGCGTTCTCACTCTTTTATACGTTATATTTTTAGTATAAAATTAAGATTATTCTATTTTTTTGCCCGCGCATAAGAATTTCTGAAAAACAATTTATAGAATATTTATTAGCCACATTTGTGGCTAAAGCTTTCAAAAATACATAAAGAATTTTTATTAACATTCGTGATTTCTGCATGAACAAGTTACAACTACATTCATCCAACGGTAGATTACTGGATAGGTTTATTAAATCTTACACTTATAAAAATAACTGAAACATATATATTAAAAAAGTTTTAAGGTTGTTGTTAGCAGTGAAATTTTATAAAAAAAAAAAATTTACAAATCTTTTTTGTGATACCTGTATAATTTCACGTTAATTGTATTTATAACTTGTCATTCAAATAATGTATCAACTAAGACGTTTTTTATTAAAATAAAAAAAATTAAATCACTCATTTACCCTAAAAATTGTTAAGTGCAGAAAGTGTATAATTGCATACTTCTTTTGATTGAAAATTAAAAACGAAATGGTTTTTGTAACTTATAATGTAATTGTATGACAGATAACATTGTCAGTGACTATTTTGTGGATATAAATATTTTCCATGATTTTTTCGCAAAATTTTGTCTGCGCGGATGACTACACGAAAAAAAGTATGCCAGTACGTTCCTGTTTAATAAATTCTCTTAAAAATAATTACGATTCAGAAGCTATTACTATATAGTGGTGAAGAATATCAAGACGCTGCAAACGATAAAGAAAATAGTCGATCGCATGAACACAAATGGAGGACGGCTCGGCAGCGGCAGCAATTGACTCGTTCCTTTGAATTTCGCATGCTAATCAATTTTATCCACAATACTTATATACATTTATAATCAGCAGAATTCGTACATTTAAGAAGGCGATCTTCTTCCTTGGAAATTATTTTCAGCAGCTAAAATCCAAACAAACAACAGAATGAAAATGGCTCCATACATAAGAAAGCTCTCAGCAACAAATCTCGGTCATAAAGCCCCCTGGCTAATAAATATTTAACCCTTCGAATTTACAACAGCCCTTAGCGTGTAGTCCCATTTGCATGAGGCTTCTATTACATTTACACATCACATAATGAAATATTTAAATTCAATTGCGAGCTCTTGGTTTCTGGCTGTTTTCTCCCTTCCCACCGAGTCCACCGCATCTCTTTTCCTTTTCGTCTGTAGTACAAGTCGGCCCGTGAAACTGCAGTAAAACTCGTTACGGAGCCACTATCTTTCCACGAATAAGCCACCCTCGCTTATTTCTCAGCCGACTGAGCGCTTATATATATATATTGTATATGTCCATACCTTGTACGCAAAACAAGAGAGCCAAGTGAGTCTACGATGCCACGGAGTCTTGCTCTTTCCTTTGTAACTACAGTAAGCAGCTTCGATTTTCTCTTTGCGTTTACCCAAAGAGGCTCCACCTTGTCGTCGACGTCGATGGGTCCACTAAATATTCAGACCTATTTGTATGAAAAGTGAGCCGTAAATTTAGGAACGATATAGTCAACTTTTATTTTCACAATGCAAAATTATTTTTTTTACAGCAACTGTGGTTTTTATAAATAAAAGTAAACATGGTAGGATTAATGTCTGATTTCGTGTACTGACAGCATGTCTGTCTAACCAAATATAACATTGCGGCACATGCGTGTTTCATGAAGAAATAAATACACGGCTCCTACGTGTGATCACAAGTATTGAGGTGATGCTGAATTACTCTTGCATTGCTAAATTAAACATATTCCTGTTGAAAAAATTTTTTTTTGCAAAATCATCCAAGAGCTCCTGCGTTTGGACTCTTGTTGCAGGGTCCCTCATAAAAATTTTCACCCGTTGTCTGTGCTGAAAAGTTGTGTACAGAAGCTTAAAAATTTTAATTCAGTTCTCTAAGTAGAACTTTTTAGCTAGTTACATGTCACTCTACAAAATTTTTGTCGTGTTTTCCTTTTCTGCCTCTTTCGTTTCTCTTCCACTCTCTGAGTCTCTTTGCTCTCAAGCGTGTCGCAAATATTTTTAGAAGCTTCCACGCACAGTAATCTTGGAGGCCTCTTCTCTCCTTTTTGTACGCCCATGCTGGCTGTCCCTCTTTCTTTTTCTCTACTCCTGCACGAGGAAAAGTTTTTGCTACTTCAACTTAACTTTCTTTGATCAAAGCAAACTGGTCTCATTATACCTGTACATCTTATATTGTATTCCAACAGCTAAACTTGAAAATGATAATGACAGTGCATGATTTAAATAAAAGCTTTTTTTTCTTTCCTCCAAAGGAAAGAGAAAAATAACAAAAAAGAGTGGCCTGGGCTGAGAGGATTAACGCACCGGTTAGATTAAGAGGCCGGAGGAGAAGGGCCCAATAGCTCGCTTTTTAAGAGGGAGGGACACTGACGAGGGCCTTCTTCTTCTTTTTTTTTTTTTTTTGGGCCCTCTGTTTTATGCGCTCGTTTGTACCCTCTAACTTCTCGTGTCGCCCTATTCGATCCAAACAACCAGAAGAATCAAGCGTTCCTCTCTCCTCTTTGCTTCTCTCTCTCTCTCTCTCTCTCTCTCTCTCTCTCTCTCTCTCTCTGTATGATTCTCCAGACTTTTTGCAAACGAAAACGCGCATTCCCCAAAATCGAGCTGTCGCTGTGTCCATGTTATCCTGGGTGCAAATATTATTTCCGAGCAAGGGTGCGGAAGAAGTCGACACGCTACACTTGTATACATATATATGGAGAGAGAGAGAGAAAAGAGTTGGCGATGGTGCCGCGTCCGAGCGTGGAAGAGGGGACTCGGAGGGCCCAGCCCTCGTTGATTGCTACACAGGTGCAGCCCTCCTCGTGAAGGTGTATCCTGACCCTCGTGGTAATTGTACTGTTGCGTTCGTTTTTTGAACTTAATATTTTAGCTGTAAAAGCATGTTACAAAAGTTGTAACTATAAAAAACAATCTAACACCTTGGTCTTAAGATTTAAAGAAAAGGGCTCCTATCATTAAAGTAACAAAGTTAACTGAAAAAATTTAAAGCTACTTATTTTAACGTGACTTAAGTATTTAGTGACTTTATTATTAAGTTTTCCACGTTGAAATCAAAGAAAGTACTACAGATACTTAGCTAAAATATCTTTCTTGAAATCAGAAAGGCAGATAGGTGTAAAAGGCTATTTTGAATGCTAAATAGCAGCTAAAGTATTGTATGAATATTCATTATAAAAAAAAATGTTTAGTCTTCAAAATAATTTGTAAAGTGTACTCTCTAGGTTTAAGTGTATTATCTCAGTAACATGATCTAAAATTGATTGTTATGTCACAATAATTTAAAATAGTTATTATTTACCTGTTGATAATATGATAATAGTTTCTTGACCATACTTTTAGACAGTCTGAATGACCTGGAGGAATGTGTCCTATTATGTGAACTCTTTCACCACTCATTTCTGCTCCATGAAGCTCAAATATTAGCCACTGAAGCTCGGAAACTGGATCAGTACTATTTAAAAGAAGCCACCAGTTTTTATTATTACAATAATTTGTATTAATTGAAAGAATTCGGAATCCAGGTCTCACTAAGACTGAGTAGAAAGCCCCCTGTCTTATTGTGTGTGCTGTACTAGCTGGTAACCATCTTCTCCATTGACTGTCTAATTCATCATAAAGCCATGATGTACTATGATTTTTTTGAATAAACGGTGGAGGATAACTATGAGAAAAAAAAATGTATATTATATATTATTAGGACAAAAATAGAAAATGCACTACTGTGTTTGTATAAGAGCTATCGTAGTAATGTTTTTTTTTTACTGATATAATGTTAACGTGTGAATAATAATTAATAAATACAAATTGAAATAATAACTTTTGTTTGCACACAATTATGACTGTTAGATTAATTATCTAAACTTAATCAAAACACTAGTTTCTTTAAAACAAATAACATAATTTCAAGTAAATTCTCTTAAACTTTTCTTCCAGCAGAGCGTCATAACTATGGTTTTAGATTCAAGTGAAGTGTATTTCTGTCAAGTGAAAGAGAAAACGAATCATCAGAATACTGTTTCATGAATATCATAACAATGACTATAAAAAACATACTACCTAATGTCTCAAAAATAAAATTTTCCTTTCATTTACAAAAATTAAAAGTAATGATAGTTCAGTTCAAGTAAGAAAGTGCAATTCTTATCAGTGTTTGGATATACTTTTAAGAGTAATCTTATTATAATGTAAAGAGATAACATTTTTTTTAAACGATTGACAATATTTCAAGATTAACAAAGCCAATTTATTTCCAATTGAAAAAGAAGATTCATTACAACTTCTACGACGTCAAAGACTACTAGTTAAAACAATAATTTTTAATAAGTAAGTTCCTATTTAACTTACAAAAACATAATATATAATAGCTTTGCAACACCGTTCTGCCTTTTAAAAGGGCGATTGATAACGTTTTTCGATGCTGCTTTATTTTGACTAAGCCATACCTGCCCTCAATATCATGACATTACATTTACAATTTAAAGTTCATAGATTGCACACTGCCCTGCTACCAATGCACTAGCATTGGATGGACATGAGGTAGTTAAACACTTTAATAAATTTTTATAGTATTTTTTCAGCGTTAAGATGAAATTAAAGAAATTTTTCATCCCACCATGAATATCATTCGATACAAAAAAAGTGAATTTAACTCTACGTTTACAAAAGTTTTATGAATTGATGATACAGTCATTAATTACGGTAAGAATTTTCTCATATTTCTGTATAGTAACATAGTAGATAAGAATAATGTGATGGTTTATACATGTGCATGTGAAAAAAAACATGATAACCTCATTCATGTATCAGATAGTCAGTTTATAGAAATATGTGGTAAATAAAACGCAAATATTAATTTCAATAATTAAATTAAAGGGTTTCAGATCATTTCAATTTATCATGGGTCGATGTTTATATGAATGCTCACCAAGTACAAGTATTTCTTGCACATAGCCAGAGGTAAATATTATTCTTAAAGTGAATCAAAATCGCAACTAAGTTGTTACGGCAACAGTACTGTTGTATAGATTTGGATATCTCCTACTGTGAAGGTTATTTTTTTTTCCTATCGAAGGGTCATTATGAGTTCTTAACTATTATATAACTTCCAAACTTATTTATTGATCTTTTACTTAAAAATTAAACCTTAAATACTGCTTTGTTTGATTGTATCTTTTGTTTTTAGTATAGTGCCTACTAAACGTTAACAAACTGGGGAGACTACGTTGCGAAATACTGCTTAACACTCCCAAAGAAATGTAAATATTTCATTTAAATCGAATAGTTATATTTTATACAAAAAAATATTAAGTCTTAAACTTATGAAAAATGTAATGTTATATATTTAACAAAGAAATAAACAAACCCAAATAAAATTTACAATTTTACGTGTTACGTACATAGAATTTCTCAATTTGCCTATTATTAGGGCTGTAAATTACATGGAATATGATTGTAGAAGTCAGTAGTAAGAATACTTCTCAGGTGAGTTTATAACATTTTTTTTTTTTCTAATAAGGCACTTCTTACTAGCTATAAAAAATATATGCAAGCACTAATATGTTTCAAAAGTAATAATCTGGAATTTTTCTAACGCACCCAACAAACAAAACCAATTTGAAACGATGTGTGTGTGAAAAGAAGTGTATTTACCTGCATAATTAAGTGAATATCATTTGGTCACGTGAATACGTAACGAGGCTACTTTGACAAAGCAGACGATGCCTTGGCGACTGCGATGCTGTTAATTTCAGATTTGCGTACTCGAATTTTGAATCATCGAAAAAAAAATTTTTGCTGGTATGCTTCGTGTAATTTTGATTAATTTAATCTCTTTGTTTCTTTTTCACAACTTTATTGATAAATATAGGCCAGGAATTAGTAAGAAAAATAAAAATGTTGTAAGATCTACAAATCTCAAAATGCTTGAATTCATTTCCCAATTTTCTTCTGGCTTAGCCTTACGAACTGTGGTCTTGACGTTTAGTTAACTGCCAGCCAAATTTCTCCTGTGTATAATTGGAATAACCGTGCTCTTAAAATAAATAAGAGCTCCTAACAGTTCAATAAAGACTAGAGGTATTTCCTAATTTCACAGTAGATAGCACGAAGAACGTTAAAAGTTCTCAGTGGCTAAGATGGTAAAGCGCTAGCTTCTCCTCTGGAGAGCGAGGGTTCAAGACTGCACTTTGTCACTTTCTCTCACGTAACTTTATGGAGTTGTTTATATAATCTTATAACTAGAATATAATACAAGTATGCACCTGGTATAATGCCTTTTACCGTGGCATGCAAATTTGCAGATAATAGTAAGAAACATAGTTGTGTATGTGGTAAATCAAAGTTGTGGATGTTTACATGTACCCACCGCTATTAAACGTAAACAAAGCCAACAAGACGTGACGTTGCTAAGATAGGATACTTACTAAGCAGCAAATTTTTTATTTGCATAAAAATTTAAGCATCTCAAAAACATTAACATTCTATTATTCTAGTTCTTGATTTCATGCTCCTTAAATGTGAACACATTTATTTTAGTATCTAAATTAAGATTTTACATGAAAAAACTAATTATCAGCTAATTATTGTATAATTTTTAAGTAATTGCTTGAAGTTATTACTCATAAAGTTTTAAAGGTCGTGAAGGTTAAATATAAGATACAAATAAAAAAAGGATAATCCCAACGAAAGTTAAAATTTCTTAATTAATAAATCAGATTTTTTTTAGCAATCAGATGCATTGGTGTTACTTATTGGAAACTGCGTACAGCAATGCAGGGACTAGACAAGTAGGGCCACAACATGGGGCAGGAAAGCGCGAAAATGCCTGAATACAGGCATCAGTTTCGGCGTCTCGCCACAGCGAAGGGGAAAACAAAGAGAGGCTAGAGAGTGGAGACGGAAGAGATATTCAGAGGAGGAGTTTCTCATGAACCGGACCTAATCAAGTTGGGTGGTTTGAGGACATTCACCAACCGTTGGTTATTTTTTCTGAGTCCTCTCCAGCGACATGGTCTCCTTCGTCCCGAGTCTCTCAACTCTGTTTGTTTTTTCTTTCCGGTGTGCGTAAATAAAAAGGAGCTATCTTATCGGCTAGTGAATCGAGTTTGTAAATTATCATTGTGATAATTCCTCATTGCAGAAGCAATTAATCCCTAGTGGTGGCTTTGTAGGCGTACTCGTCTTTATTTTCTGACTGATTTGCATATCTCTCCCTTTTTTAGGTTCCTTTCTTTTATTGTTTTTTTGATATATCGTACTACCGCGTCATATAGCCGGTGTATCCCGTTGATTCTGCGATTGAGCCCACAATTCTTATTCTTTTTTTTATGTTATATCAAAGAGATTTGTGAGTTTAATAGAGTGTAGAGTGTAAGGGTTTTAATTTTGATATTTAGTTGTTATTTATCAGCGCACTACAACTTGCTTATGAGACAGATCGTGCGTTCGAATCCAGTTTTCTAATTATTTACAATTGTTATTCCTGCATTCAATGGTGGTTGGACCAAAATAAAAACTAAAGTTTGAACTATGTTTGTTAAACTAATTAAAATTATGATTTATTTATATACTAGAGACACGTCAATCATAAATATCGTGTGAGCCTCGTATAAGACAATGCCTTTTCTCGTGATTTAAATACTATATCGTTGTTACAGGAGAAGTAGGGCTAATGTTCTTAAAAACAATGTTATTTAAATGGTTGTGTAGTTTTTAAGATGGGGAATGTTGAGTTGTGTGATCAGAAAAATCAAATTATTTAAGTTATTTCAAATCGACAATTAAGTGCGGTTAACTAGCGTCAGACAATTACGTTATATTTTTTTTTTTCTTTATTCATTATATCGTAAATTTAGTCATGGCAACAAAACAAAATCTTGTAATTTACTTATGAACAAAAGATCTAAATATACTGTGGAATTAAGTTGTAATCATTTTATATATTTTTTTTTTTATACACTTTGTGCTCTCGGTTTTAGCGTATACCCGACCCCATATAAATAAAAACCCACGCAATTGCGTATTCTACGCGAAGGTTAGATAATCCTAAGTCTTAGCTTCCACTCTATTTCTTCGTCGACCTTTTTACGGAACTGTATGGGTACAGGATAATTATGTATGCAAAATGGATCGGTATTTTTCAAAATTAACGGGTACTGGAAACCACGAAAACACCTTGATTGATTGCTAAAGATTCTGCGATGTGACTGGATCAGGCTTTTCAATTTCACCCGTTGAGACGTATTAATACGATGGACTTCATCAAGGAAAGCTTCAATTTGGTTGTCTGAAATCTCTGAGTTCAAATAATTAGCTGATGATTTCGCACAAAAATTTGTAATTTGGTTAGAGTCATGATCGGAGAGTTGCGACGAAATGAAGTTAATATTCTCTTGAGTTCTATCTGACGTTATCTGTATAAGATCTTTTCTAAAATTTATCACCACGTTTAATTTTTTTTGGAGATCTACCCGTAAGATACATTCCCGAACTCATTTAGGTATGATAAAAAAATTAATCTGTTTTTTTCTCTACCCCAATTTAAATTCGTCATAAACTTGTCGTTTGATCTTTGCGGACTTTTCTCCGGTAAACCCGGTCCCTTTAATACCAACTACTGGAAACTGGATCTTTTAAAATCATGGGTGCTGATACGTCATCTCC